CCTTAGGAGTTTGAACCTTATTATTAATGAAAAATTTGTTTATTGTAATTGGTTATTAATTGAAAAAAATAATTCGGAAGCAATATAAAAATAGAACAGCACATTTTCCTGTATATTTTTAGTAAAACATACCTATCAAAAAAATGTACACTTCCTAAAAAACGGAACCAGTTTATTTCAATTCATATTAATTAAATATTTCATTTTTTATCAAGAAAATTTCATGTTTTTAATACTTACAACAATATATGCAAACAAAGATGTAAATACACAATACATTGCATAAGTTTCACATTTTATTAAAATTTGTATTTTCATTTCACAATTATAACAACAACAATTCAAACACATTAACATGAAAAGAGTGACTTAGCATGTCTTTCCACAACAGCACCCACTTGATGTCTTTTTCTGGCATTGGCACACCTTCTTCTCTCCACACTTGCACTCACATGTGCATTTGCATCCCTCGCAGCAGCACTCACAGGTGATGGTCATCCCAGTTGCAAATGTCTTGCATTGGCACTTTCCCTCTTTGCAGCAACAGCAGCACTCACACTTCCCTTCAGCACCACATTTGCATTTGAAGTCACAGCAGCACTTCCCATCTTGGCAGCAGCACCCACACTTGATCGCTTCACTGCCTTCACATTTGCACTTCTTCTCACACCCACAACTCATTGTCGTGTTGCAATGAGTTGTGCCTTATATACCCATCACGGGCTTTCAAAATCAAAATGGCCAATCATTTGGACTTTTGTGGTCCATCCACTTGGATAGTCAATTTGGTTTCGTTCTGATTGGTTGATCTGTTTTATTTTAAAGTATACAGTTGGTCCATTAAACCTTCGCCCAGGAAATTAACCTTAACCCAAAGAAAAACTAATTATTTTCTATTGTTATATTAAAATAATAAACTATATTTATATAAAAATCAATTTTCTGAAATATTTGTTTTTTTAGTGAAAAACCTGTGTTTTTTTTAAAATAAAGTAATTTTGTTGGGTTAAAGTACATTTCCTGGGCTTTAGTTCATTTTCTATACTGTAGTTGTTTTGTTGTTTTTTGTATTATTTTGCATATTTTCAACCTTGTTAATTGAAAATTGTAACAAATCAATTATAAAATAATTGTTTTTATTTCTATTTTACTGTATTAAAAACTAAAAATATATGTTAAGGTTAATGCAAATTACCCATCCAAAATCGTTTTTAAATATATTAATTTAAAATTAAATTGAAAAAAGTTTTAAAAAATAATCCAATTTGAATGCGTATTGATATAAGTCATCATATAATCAAACCTTAAGTTAAATAAACGAATTAATTATTATTAGGAGCTTTTTGACAATTATTATGATTATAAATTATAACGATTAAATTAAAATGTGTCAAATGTTTGAATTCTAAATTAAAAATTGGAATAAAACTTAATTATCATTTTAAACACATTTTGAATATTTTATATTTTTTCCATATTTTATTAAAAGGAAAAATTAAAATATAAAAATTGAATATTTAAATATGTTTTTGAATAAATTTTATTTCATTTAAAAATTATTTTTTTAAATTTTTGATAATAATATAATTTATGTTTAAATATTCTGATAAATAATATAACTTTTTACTTACAAAAATGTAATCTTTTAATCCATAATTTGAAAAATAATATAAAAAAATATTTGAACAAACAGAAATTAATTAAAATATAATAATTTTAATTTAGATTAAATAGAAAAATAAAATAAAAAATATAGAATATAAATATTATGAAAACAAGATTAATAATGTTTTTAATTGAACAAAAAAATAAAATTAAAAAATGACAAACTAAAATTAAAAATCAGAATAAACTAATAATACAAAGGAACAATAACAAAAAACGCATATAGTCAACTATTTGAACAAAAATTTTAATAATATATATATTAATAAAACCTTTATAAAATTTTTAAATTATATAATAATATAAAATCGTTTTTACATACAATTTTAAACTTTACTATTCATATTAAATTGCTTTGTATTATAAAATATATTGATATAATTAATAACTTGTTTTAATAATTTAGAATAAATATTTTTATTTTTATTTTTTAATAAAATTTAATTTATCATTTTTAAGGCGACCTTCGAGATTGTCATGACCCAAGTAATCCTAAGATCTTTTGGGTCGAATTAATTATTTTTTGTAAATCGGCATTTCACTTTTTTCTTTACCAAATAACAAAAAAAAATATTTTTAAAATTTCACAATTTTTTTGGATTTACACATTGTTGAATTAATTATATATAATCATCATTAACCTTAACAGATCGTTTTATCAATTTTCATAACAAAGTTATCTACGCAATCAAACGTTCAAATAAACAAAAAACAAAAATACAACAGTGTTGATACAAAGGAAATTCTCAAATCAAATTACACTTAAATAATGGTTGTTTATTACATTGATTTTATTAATTGTAAATAGTAACTTTTGTGAATCAATTATGATATACATTAAAACAAAAATAAACGATTATCATCAATTTCATTGTGTAACTAGGTCGATGTACACAATTTTCGTTAAACGACTTTTGTTGATAATAACATGTAAGAGAGTTGTTATACACGATAATTCTTTTCTAACTATCGTTTTCTTGTTATTCATGTAAAAACACATAATTAAACATATATACCTTAGTAACACCACAACATTTATTATTGTATATAATAGAAACATGTATTGATTATTAATTCCAATAATTTAATAACAACAGTTTGTGTATCAGGTTTCACTGTTAATCACTACATTTTCATTTAAATAAAAGGTTGAAAATAAAACGTGATAAATTTTTAGTGTGAAAACTTGTAACATCAAACCTGAACTTAAAATCATTACACTAAAATTACTAGAATTGCACAGTTTAAAACATTTTTGTTTTTAATTTGTTGCTCTCTCACATATATACATAAAATATAAAAAATAAATATTTTATCATCAAAGAGTAAAAGCAGACAATACAAAAATTATAAAATTAATTCGAGTTTTTTGTTGTGGTACATTAAGTTTGTAGTTTAAACAAAATGAATACACTTTCATGATTATTTTAAAATTCAATTCCATACATATTTATCTATTTTAACAATTATTTCTTTAGATCATACATAAAAGTGCATTAAAACATAAATGTTTGTTTTTTGGATTTATAATACGATGCACATATAATCTAAGTAATACACAAACATTTAATAACAATTCAATTGCTTTCAAATTGAATATTAATAAAATAGAAAAATATTTTTAATTAAATTTATAAAATATATTTAATCGTATCTAAGTGACAACACCAATGTAATTTAAAATACAAATTGGTTTATTATCAACATTTTTAATTTGTTCATATGTATATTTGATTATTTATCATAAACAAAAATAATGTGGTTGTCAGTTATTTTAACCAGTAAATATATATTTTATTTTTTAACATGTACAAATGGGTTGTGAACAAGAAGTCGTTAAAAATATTTATTTACATTCTTTTTATACAATAATATTTATGTATTTGTTTAGTTTGAAATTATATGTTTACACACTCAAAAAGTTTACATTTCTTATATTTTAATTCATTTTTCAATAAACATGTTAAGTATATAAGTAAATGATGTTATATTAATTATCATTATAAATTCACTAAAAAGTAACTGTATTATCAAGTTATTATTTCATTATTCAATAACAGTTGTGATGTCATTTTCATAATGTGCTATTTATGTATGTAGTTAGACATAATAAATTAAAAAGATAATATATATTAAATAACATTATTTACATGTTATTATCAAGAATGAGTTATTGGAAAAAAATCTTTTTTAATGTAGTTACACAATTAAAATGGTCACACTTATTTTAAATCTAAAAGATATATTCATAAATCAAAAATATGTCAAAAACAATTATTCTCTTTGGTCTTGTTCACAACAACAATTCCATTTAAACATAGTTGTTAATTATTTATTATTATTCAATGTCTTGTCATATTGGTAACTGTATGTGTGAATATCAAAAACTACAATTTTAAATTGAAATACAATTGTTTAAATATAAATATTTTAAAAGAAATACAATTATTTTTTGTTTACCAAATAATTTTTTTGTAATCACTTTTTTTAACATAAAAAATAATTAATTAATTAATTATTTTTTATATTTATAATTATCTGACACGCATTTCAAACCTTTTGTTACCAGTTCTTAATTATTTTACGTGTGTTTTTGACTTTAAATAATTATTGTCAGCCCAAGCATTTTGATGGATCTTCAAAATCACCTTTAAAAATAAACATTAAATTTTGTTTATTTTTAAAAAATTTTTTTGAAGCTTTTTTAATCTTTATAAATTAAATTTTAGAGCATTGTGTGTATTTATGAGAATTTGGTATTATATGATGTTTTAACCATTTTATTTCAATATGTACTAAATTAAAAATAATTTTAAGATTATTTAGTCGATTATTTTTAAAAAAATAATTAGAGTCAGTCTTTTAACGTTATCTGGTCTCAAACGTTATCTGGTGGACAAAAAATACCTTCATTTTTGTCTAAACATCGGGTATTAGGTAAAGCGTGAAAAAACACGAAACAATTGGGATGGATTTTTGGGACTGCTTCCCGAATTATTCCATTTTTTTATAGTCCAAAAGGCACCAGATAACGTTTAAAGACTGACTGTAATATATTTCAGTTGGTCCTAACAGTCGGAGAAAGAAAATAAGTTGCCTTGAATCACTGTTTAAATTTAAAAAAAATATAATTATATTATAAATTATTTTTTTTATTATACTTTAAATATCAATAATGTTATGTATTACATTAAGTTTATTATTATGGCTATCTTCAATGAATTGTTATAATTATTCCAAGTTTTTAGTTTCAAGTGTTTGTTTTTGAAAGTCTTTACTAACAAAAAATGTTTTTATTATGATAAATACAAATAAAATAAAAAACACAATAAAAATCATTCAAATTTCATATTTCTTTTAATTCCACAACTCTTCTTCTTTGCAAACAGTTTTGAGAAATCAAACTCGAACCTTCCAAACACTTCAAATAGCATTTTCTTCTGTTGTTTACGCGTTGTGGCCTCTGAAAATTCTTCACTACATATGAATGCCTTTAAAGCACCTCTGTAAAACTGAGGCACTTCATTCACGTAAAAACTTGAACATGGTGGGTCGACAACACTGAACCTCTTAGGAAAACACACTGTGATGTAATCGTACGACTCGATTCTTCGTTTAATTTCCGCGACTATATTTCCCACGCTAAACATTTTCGATTGGATTAAGTACTTCCACGGCCAGCAAATCATTTTGACGACTTCAACTAAAGTCGCATCGAGAAATTTCGTCACGATTTGAATTTTGTTTTCAAACAGTTTGTTGATTTGAGTATCAGGAAAGAGTGTTTTATCGGCAACTATGTTATTAATACACAAATTAATAATGTCCCCAAGCGGTGATATATCAAAAAAGTCATTACACATCTCAACAAAGCGAACATTGTCGTCATTGAAATCGGCTCTCTTACTATTCAATTTGTTGTTCAGCCACTTTGGAAGAATAACTAACAAGGCGCACTCTTTCCGCTCTGTTCTATTTTGGTTTGCTGTATTGGCAACACCACTTTGGTCGTAATTTCTCCAAGACTTGATTAATAATTTGACCCATCTGACAATATCATCATCTTCTAAATAGTCACCATCGACAATTGATATTCTCCGATTCTCAAAAATTTGCGGACTTTCATTGAAATATTTCATCTTTTCTTCTTCATTGAGTGAAACAGCTATTGGTAATGGAGTGGTGTCACCAGAAATTGCAACAGCAATTGTGCTCGGGATGGTGTCTCTCGACACAACAGAACCAACAGAATAAGAATTCTCTGCGATGACTTTAAGGTTGGAGGCCGCAAGAAGGCGATAGTCAAAAACGTCTGCAAAAAGCATGTGGTCAACTGGGATGTCGGAATTTGACAAAATTCTCAGCACAAATTCCTCTACATTTGATAATGAAAATCCTTTGGAAATAAGACAAGGCTCGACTAGTTTTTCATAGTAATTATTCGACTTTAAAAAAGTTAGTATATCGCCTTCTGTTCTTCGTTCGTTAAAATGAGTTAAATAAAAATATTGAAGAGACTTTATAGTGACACATTGATCATCGTTTAATAAAGTGGCGAGATGTTTTAAAACTTCTTTGTCGTGTTTGCTATTTAAGTCCGTTAATGAAGAATGAGATTGCGAATAGGAATTTGAAGTTGAGCAAATTTCCATATACTTATTGTATTTTCAAGTATTTTCTTTTTATAATATTTTAAGGTTAAAACATAACCTTTTAAAATGATATAAAATAAAAAAATCGATAATGATAGTTCGTTATTTCTTTTTTTGTTTATTTTTTTAATAATTATATATTTTTTTGAAATCAAACAATAAAATAAATTTGAGATAAAATATGTTTGTGTTTTTTTATTCTAAAAATTGTTTATGTTGTTATTAATTATAACTATTATTTTTTTTATATTTTTATTCAATTATAATATTAGAGTTTTTCACAGACATTATCAATTTTTAATTAAAAATGATATTATTTTATTATATTTTTTATAAAAAGTGTGTTTTTTAATAATTAAAACTTAATGAAATATGATTCTCATTAAAAAAATAATGATAAATGAATATATAATAAAAAAAAATATTGTAGTTTTATTTAAATCAGATATTGATTTTATTTATTAAAAAATATAATTTCACAAATTATTTTAATTTATTATTATAAATTTTTAAATAATTAAACAAATTATTTTTTTGATAATAATATCATTTTTTTATAAAAATATAATTGTCAATTTTATATATATATTTGTCCGTTCACCAGACATAAAAAACCCAACAAATTAACAATAAAATAATCGAAATTAAATAAAATTTATTTTCATTTCATTAATGCTGTAGCTATTAGCTCGTTGATGCCTTATGTCTTGAAAATTATATTAATCAGTTCTACCACCTTGGTTTATTTGTTGTTCTTTGTAATTGAAATGTGTTAAAGATGTTATGTTTGTGTTGATCTTTCCACAAACAAATTGCATAAATTTACGATCACTATTGCATTATTTTTTTCTGTCATAATCTTGTTCACCTTTCGTGTAAATACATTTAATTTTAATTGGTGATTTGTCATTGTTGTCGTTGACGAAAGTAAATAACTGAATATTACTTTGTATAATTGAATTATAATAACGTGATCTAATCAATGCTTTTGCATCAAAGGATAAGTTTTTATTTGATCAAGAATTATAATTAATATTTATATAAAATTACATATGATTATATAATTTTTAATATTTGTTAATTTTTTTTCGTATTTATTGTGTGACAAAATTTTTGTTATAATAAAAATTAAAATAGTTATAATTTTATTATAATATAATTTATTTTACCTTAATAAAAATCAATTAATGAATGAAAAATAGAATTAATGACATATTATATAAATAAAAGGACTTTTTCAAAAAAGTTTTATTTGATTTTTACTATTTTAATAGTATTTTAAATATTAAATAGTAAAAATATATTTTTGTTTAGTAATGACAATAATTCTCACACGTCATTGAGGTATGTCAACAGAGTCAATAAAAGACGGTCCAAACAACTAAATTCATAAAATGCAAATCTTTGTGAAGACCCTCACTGGTAAGACAATCACATTGGAGGTTGAGCCAAACGATTCAATCGATGCTATTAAAGCAAAAATACAAGAAAAGGAAGGCATTCCACCAGACCAACAAAGACTCATTTTTGCTGGTAAACAGCTTGAAGAAGGAAAAACCCTTTCTGACTACAACATTCAGAAGGAGTCAACACTCCACCTCGTCTTGAGATTGAGAGGTGGGTATTAAGCATTTCGTCTCTTTGCATTCGTCTTGTTTTGTATTTTATTTTACTTGCTAATCTATTGTTGAACATTTCACAACAATATGTTGTGAGTTGTAAAGAATCAATAATCTTTATTTTAATATAAAAATATTAAATACAAACAAAAAATGCATTTGCCGGGACTCGAACCCGGATCTCCACCTTGGAAGGGTGGAATTCTGCCCTTAGACCACAAATGCTTCTTGATATTTTCTATAGTTAAAATTGATTAAGTCGGTGGGTTTAATAATTGGAATAAAGAAGAACTTGATAAGATACAATATTATTATTATCATTTGTACTATATAATTTTATAATAATTAACTAAAATTTTTAATTTTTAACTTTTGTAAATCAAAACAAATCTTATATTAATAACACATGTCGAAGCGAGTTAATGTGTACTCCTTTCAAATTATTGAGTCTTATTTAAATGAATATGATGGTTTCTTTGTTATTATATTAGTTTGTGAGTCGTATAAATATGTGCTTCATTGTATTTGAATAAATCCAATTCATATCACTCCAATAACAAATAAAAATTTCAGGACATTCAAACCTAATAATATTTCATAACCTTTTTGATGTTAAACTTATCATTAACCTCATGATACTGTTACTGTTTTAAATAAAACATATTTTTTTGAACTTGATATGATATACAAAATAAACTTAACTTGTGGCGACTCTTTTGAAATGTGAACAGTAAACAAACCAATCGCGCAAACAATAATTTATAGGTTTCCTTTTTTTCTTCAATTTTATGAAATGTTTTAATTAAAACACTAACGGTATTGGCGTTTTCATTAACAAAACATTTTTTTCCAAAAAAATGTTTTATAAAAGAAAAAAAAAGAATCGTAAGGTTAAAAAAATTTTAAAGTTATTAAAAAGGTCTCAAAAAGTGTCTGATACAAATTAAGAATATCAATGAGTGTCCACTCGCTGTTTATAATAAAAGTCGGACTTATTTTAAACCAAAATTCTGGAATTCACGAAAAAAATTGTAACCAATTCTTTCAAAGAATGTCTTGGGACTTCAATATTGTTTCCAAACTCAATTAACGACATATCTCAGTTTGCGTTTTCTTATTGTTCAAATATCACACAAATTGCACTGCTGCCACATCTTATACACCTTAGTAATTAGGTGTTTAATCAATGTATGAGATTTATAGTGATAAAACTCCCAGACCTGCTTGAGTGATTTCAAAAACGTGTTTTTGTAAATGTAATTCTCTTTTTTATGTGAATTTTTGGAACAAAGGTCACTTTTATTGGAGTTAAAACTTTGAGTAAATGTGCTTTTTAAGAGTTTACAGTTGACAAAAATGTGTGTAGAAGATTAAGAGTTCTTCAATTGAAAAACATTAAATAGTTTGACACTTTCATAACGTATTAAAAAGTTGGAAAACAATGTTTTGCCAAATGTTATTCGCTTGAAAGTGTATTTTGTGAGTCAATAGAAATTATTTATGACTCATTGTATTGTATTTATTGCTTTAACTTGAAAAATGTTTAAATATTCAATTAACAATAATTAAAATTTTCTGTTGTTACAATTATAATATTAAATTTGCCAATTTGGAGATGTTGAATGTATTCCTCATTACATGTTTAAAAAGTTCTACAACTTTAAAAAAGTTGTTATACTAAACTGTTTTTCAAAAGTCGGTACTGGGGTGTCCCGATTTTTTGGATTTATTTTGTTTATTATTTTTGGGAATCGTTTTTTGTAATAAATTCGCTTATTTTTTTCCAAATAAAAAAGAGAAAAACGGTCTTCAAAAAATATTTTTTTACTTGAAAAATTTTTAAGCATTAAAAAAATCCATATAAAATTTGAAATAACGGGATTTTTGTTTCAGAAAAACACACGAATTATCCCAAAAGTGCATTTTAGTACAAAAGCAAATAAACTTAATGTCAATCTTTTTCATTATCAAACATTTTATTAATTAATGAAATATTCACAAAACAAAAGCTTAGTTCGAAGATTAGTATGCTTAGTAGTGTTGTCACAAAAACAATAAAAATAACAAAATGATTTGATAATTTATCTTCGTTGTTTTTTAAAAAGTCGACATTCTTTTTGAGCATTTCAGTGAGAACATCTTTTTTAAAATATCCAATAACAAAACATTATTGTTATTTTGTATTATTTTTCTTGTGTTGCCCTTTGACAATTTTGACTTATGCCTGTCAAAATTATTAAACATTTGCTGTAATTTTTGGTGTTTTTGGAACTCTTTATTTCATTAATTGTTATTCAGAGAAGATAACCACAGTTTGTTTTAAATTGAAAATATTTTTTAACAATAGTAATATTCAGTTAAAACTCGACACGAACAACACCATCCCAATTCACTTAAACGTTAATTGTTGTGCTTTTAGGCCAACAATGCTGTGTATATGTTGCGAAGTATCGAGTTGTGGTCAAATCAAATAACGGGATCGGGTTTTTTGGAAAAAGATGGCTAATATTCCAATATTTTCCCGAATTTGTACGAAAATAATTGAACGGTTGGTATTTTTTTCAAAATAAAGTCGGTACTTTCGATTTTTTGTTTTTTATTTTTTTAGGAAAAAACAAAAATAAAAAACGGGACTTTAGGAAGTTCTAAAAATATGACAGTACCGACTTTTGAAAAACAGTTTAGAGACTTTATAAACAATTTACTTGATAAAACTTTTTTTGTAAATAATAAGTAAACAATCACTTATCTGAAATTACCTTCACCATTTTCAAAACACAATCTTTATTGATTCCAGAAAAGTCAAAAGTAGACTCATGGCACCTCTCTATAATTTTTGGATAAATTACTTCTTTCAAACTTTTGCAATAATAAAATGCTCTTCTTCCTAAGTATTTTACTTTATCATTAAAAACGACTTTTTCAAGTTGAGTGCAATGCTCGAACGCATCTCTTTGCACCACTTCCAAATTTTTGGGCATTTCGATTGTTTTAAGTTCGTAATTCCCCTTGAAAGCATAAGCTTCAATAGTTTTTACGGAGTCACCAAGTTTAATAGACGTAAGCCTATTTAAAGTAAAACACATTCTTGGTATTGTCACAATTGTCCCATCCAAATCAATATATTCCAAAGGACAATCAGTAAAGCATTTTCTTTCAAGTTTTTCAAGATTTTTTAAAACCAATTTGACAATTTCACCTGATCGAGTGTAAGCGGGATATAATGATTTGTACTCTTCAAAATTGCTTCTGTCAAAACAATAAAACAGATTTTGCATTCCGCCGTTGATTAATAATTGTTTTACAAAGTACCCTTCATCTTTAAACGTTTGAGCATTTTCATTGGTATTTTGAACGAAAATTTGTGTTAAGTTTGTTGCTCCTTTTGCACAACAATAAGAAAAATTGTGTGTTGAATTTTTAAATGCTATTGATTCCAACTTCGTACAATTTCGAAAGCAATCGTTTGACACTCTATTTGTTTGGGATGGGAAATCAAATGTTCTTAAAGCGCAGTTCTCAAAGCAATTACTCCCAATACAAGTCACTGTATCTGGTACTTTAACATGTGTCAACTTCGTGCAATTTTGAAAACAACAATTTTGGAGCTCGACAAGTTTTTGAGGAAGAATTAACAATACCAAAGAATTGCATCCTCTGAAACAAGCTTGTCCCAACGAGGTTATATTGTCTGATAAATGTATGTTACAAAGGAAATTGCAGTTCATAAACGCCTGTTGATAAAGAGAATTCACTTTTGAAGGTATTGAACACGACACCATTTTCCCACTTAATTTATGAGCAAAGCCAAGAGAGTAAAGTCTTTGTAAATCGTTATTTTCAAGTGTGACATTGCTACACTCTCTGTTAACCACTTCTTGGAACCTAAAAGGGACAATTTGAGTGATTTTGTTTGATCCTCTAAATATCAAAGAATTGAGCATTTTAAAATTTGAGAAGAAATAATCTGTGATATTAGTGTCTGGGTACAATATTAAAGTAGAAATTGAATTGTTTTCATTGAAAATGGTCTCAGAGACTACAACTGTATTTGGAATAAGAAAAGTAGTCAAACTAACACAATTAAAAAATGCACCATAACAAATTTTCTTGACAGAAAGTGGGAGGGAGATATTTTTCAATTTTTGGCAATTATGAAAACAATATTGTGGGATTATTTTGATTGAGTTTGTCAATACAACTTGAGTCAAATTTATTTGGTTTGCAAAACACGATTCTTTAAGTAAATTGACTTCTTTTGGTATATTATATTTTGGATCCTTTTGAAGTAATTCATTGAGACGTTTCGTAAAACTGGAAGACCCCAAACACACCTTCTTAAATTTCAAATTGAATTTCTTATCATTCAAATATTGTTCATAATCAACTTTAAAATTAATAAACTTCTCCACGTGGGGAACGGCTGTGTCGTTTGAATTATATAAAATTTGATATGTCATATTGTCGAATATTTTTGTGCTTTTGATGGGAAGTGGATTATAAAAAAACATTGAAAGCACTTCTTTACACTTTTTGTTAACTTGAGCAAAGGAGATAAAATCGTCGATGGTATTAAAGTATTTCACACAGACCATCATATGATATTTATCTAACTGTATGCACATTTTCTGGTTTTCTTTGTTTTGTTCACATTTTATAGCTATTTGTATGAGGTGAATAAAAAACAAAACTTTGAGTTATGACAATACCTCATATTTGAATTTTGAGTCATCAATTTTATTATTATTATATTAAAAATAAAGTAAATAGGTTATGGCAAAAGAATTAAGTGAGTTTTGTAAGAAATAAATAAGTTTCTTATTTGAGAATATGTATAACATATTTTATATTTAAAGATATGGTCATCCTAATTTTTATAATCAACAATTTATTATTTTAGTTAAATAAATTGTAGTACAATCAAGGGAAAATAAGATGCTGAAAAAAAGATGCCAATCTAAATATAAATTTATTTAAATGTTTTTCATTTTATTATAATTTAATGATTATTAATATTATTTTTGTATTTAAAATAAACAATAGTTGTGAGCATCTTCCTTTTTTAGCATCCCATTTTTTTCCCTAATGTACATGAAAATATAATTTAAGTTCTGTTGTATTTAATTGATTATTGTTGTGTTAAATAATTAATTTTAATCATTTTTACATCTAAAGGAAATCGAAAAGAAAAGACTACGGCAGTAGGGTCAAAGGATTTACTTATATACTATAATTATAGTGTTAATGTCATGTATACACTTTAAATAAAAAAGTGATTTATCAATTTTATATAAAAATGACAAAGAAAACATTTTATATCACAAAACACAACATTTTATCAAAATTGGATTAAACCAATTGAAACACAGTCATTCTTGACATCAAAAAACGCCTCTTTTTATTCCTGTTATTACCGAACAATAGATGATATAACGTGGAAGCTCCTTTGTGATACAATTCACTGTTTTCTTTTCTAATATAAAGCACATCAAATACTTTAAAAAGGTCTTTTGAATTATCATTATTACAAAAGAATGCCTTATTTGTTAAATTGGGCCTAACCCATTTACATATACTGTGTTTATAATCAAATGCAAACAAGAATGCATATGGAGAATTGCAATATTTTTGTAAAGATATCTCGTCATATATGACTGCTCCAAATTTATCGCCGTCTTCATATTCTATTAAAAACACAAGATTTTTTCTTCCACAAATGTTCTGACTAAAAACGCTGTTATCAATCAAAAAACAGTCGTTATCAGAATCAAACACTTTATTCTCAAATTTCAATCCAGTCCATTTTTCAATTATTTGCATCTCTTCTTGTGTAATTGTATCATCCAAAAAGTGTTTATTTATCAATTGATTTTGAAGTTCTTTGACTCTGAGGTTTTGTCCATTATTTAAAATCGAACCAACTGGATTTTTCTTCTTTTCTCGTGCGATTAATTGTAATACAAGTTCATCATAGTCTTCATCTCCTTGTTTTTCCAATCTTGTTTTTCTCGTTTCAAAATCAGTTTTAATCGAATTTAAAAGGTTTAAAGCTTTGTCAATTTCATTTACAAGAAGATCTCTTCGAAATAAAAATTCATCCATTTTGTCTATCTTACCTTCCAAGACTTCAATTCTTTGGTCAATTGTTATTGCTTTCTCTTCATTTGCCATCTTAAAAGATGTTTGTTCATAAATCGGAGTCTTTTTTGTTAATTCATTTACCTTTTCAAGTTGAGAAACAAGTTGTGTAACTGTTATTTCCATGTTGTACTTTTTACAAATAAAATTTTATCCACCCCTTTTTGTTTAGTTTTTTACGTTACTATTGTGGTTGGCAAATTGATAGCTAAAAACTAAATCTTATTATAAAAATATTTATATAATATAGTTATATCTTCAAAATTGCTAAACTATTCAACTGTTGTTTTTACCTCATTTAACCAAAATTATTAAATTTACTATATAATTATAGTAATTATGGAATAAGAAATGTACCATGTTATTTAGTATTTAAATAATTGTGTGTTTTTCATGTTAATAAAATAAATTATAAAAATAAACTATTATAATAATTTCTTTTTATAATAGTAGATAAATGTTGTGTTTGACAAGCCAGTCATTAATATATATTGAGTCATAAATGTGTTTACTCATTTGCGAGGCATAGAAGACCACCACGAGATTCAAGTTCTTAATAAAAAACACGAAAGCGGTTTGTGTGTGTGAATTTGTACGAAAGATTGTTCATGTTGACCCGAAGAATGACAGTGTTATTCACTTTCAAGTGATGGGGATAGTAGCGGGGATGGCACAACCGCCAGTACTCAAATTCAGGGTTAATGGAAAGGATGTTCTTGTTGAATACAAGAACGCGCTGCCTGAGATAGTTGTGAGGGAGTTACATCCAATCATTGGGATGACTACAAAATAAATGTTCTTTGTGTTT